GTCTCCAAGGGTGCCTTGCATGCTCCACTAACTGATCAATATTCAGAATATACTTGTGTCTAAGTGACTGCTCAACACAAAAATGAGCAAAAAAGACCTGCTTGCTCTGACTTAAATGCCGAAAAGAAAAAAGTCACAAAAGCAACCTAGAGAATGTGGAAGCATAATTCCCAATTCCTCACAGATCTGGAGATAATACTTCATCACTGGATAGTAACCTCCCTTTACACCAAATTTAAGAGTAGGAGGCAATTTCCAGAAAGGAAAAATATGTGGCAAAGAACATCAAAAACTTCCTTTGAAGTATGTCCAATACTTCATTCTTTTCTTCTGTTTTCTCACCCCACCTAACAAGCCCTAGCAACTATAACCCCCGCCATTCCCCTCAAGTCATACTCTGCCAGGGGTTCTCAGCAGGAGGTCGGGCCCAGTGAGAAGATACTACTACATGAAGATTATGAAAAAGCTTTTTCAGAACCACCTCACTAAACCACAATTTAAAAAGAAAAGAGTCAAGCAAACAGTCCTTGCGCTACACCGTAACAACATGCATGAATTTCAATTCCCACAAGTAACACAAGTTACCAACACCATAGATGAAATTACAGTAAACACAGAGATGTTTTCCAAAAATAGATAATCAAAAGAGTGAACTGGCCAACAAAGATGAAAGTGCAGCAAATAAATGAAAAGTGGTAACACTGAAAGTGAAAATCAAATATAAATTTACAAGATACAGCCAGCCATGGGAATAGGGACACTGGTGTCCGAGATACTCTAGAGGATGAAGATGTCCCAGAGGAAGGGATGCCAGCAAAAGTATTCCCACTAAATGAACTCTCAGAGGTATTTCCTAACGTTGAAAGCACACAGGATGGGACGCCAGGGTGGCTCAGGGGTTGAGTGCCTGCCTTTGGCCCAAGGCGTGATCCTGGACTCCTAGGATTGAGTCCCACGTCAGGCTCCCTGCATGGAGCCTGCTTCTCTCTCTGCCTGTGTCTCTGAATCTCTCATGAATAAATAAATAAAATCTTAAAAAAAATAAATAAAGCACACAGGATAAAATGTTGGAAGTTGATCCAAACTTAGTAAATATTATGACACGTGGCTAAGGCATAAAAGAGATGCTTGTTCTGTACTGTAAATTATCTGACTAGAAGACCAGCACTGGTCAAATTACTTTTAACACATTCTTCACAAAGAAATAAATCCTTGGTTTCTGATGCTTTAAATTACAACGCTCTCAATATTAGCTTTACTATTTTTTTCACTTTTCTATACATTTCTGATGAACAGTAAGAGTCTGTCATTTAACACTGACAAGAATTTTTAGAGGTCATTAAAGGATCATACACTTTCTCATCAGTTCAGTTATAAAGACCACTCTGCAAGGTTTCCACTTGCACATTTTGACAACCCAGGCTACCACGCAAAGGACTGCCCATACTCTACACTGCGTAAAGTCCACACTTGCCAAGGTTCTTTTTCTTGTAAACAAGGACTGGTTAAAAGTAACTAGAGTAGGATATTTTTGGTTTCATCCAAGTAACAAGCCAGATGAATTCATGAACTACAAGGACAATGAAATAGTTAAGTATTGAAGGGGAGAGAAGAGTCAGGCAAGAAGGAAAAGAGATGTAGTACAGGATGTGATGTTTTAAAAATATAAAGATTTTTATATTTTAAAAAAACTGGAAAAGTAATGCTACTTCAAAACTATTTTGTATTAGAAATTTCAATAGTCCCTTCTTTTCAATAGTCCCTTTTTAATGAGAACAGTGAATGTTTTAATTAAACATGAACAGATGTACCTAGCGTTAGTAGTAGTGTAGTGTTGTATTAAGTATTTTCCACGTTATAGCACTGTTGTTAACGGCCCCTGAATAGTTGATGAAATGCATCTATTACAGTTTACCTAATCATTCCTGTATTTCACTTTTAAGTGGCTTTCGATTATCTTCACTGAGTTAAATGTTATGAACATCTTTAGGTTACTAACACTTAGTTCCACACTGCTTTCCTGAAAGTATGTACCAGTCACTGTACTCTGAGGTTTTTCTCTTCTGAAAAGCCTACTCTGCTCCAAATGAACACTAATATCCCAGTGACTCTTCCCTTACTCTACAACCCTCAATCCTCCTCATGAAGCTTTAGGAAGGGAGTATTAAAATATCTGCTAAATGCCAGGTTCTGTATTGCGTATCTGACAGTCTCGTTTAATACTCAGAATCTGAATTTCAAGACCAGCAATCATTTAGACTTTCATTTCATTCCTTCAAAACATAAGGCTGAGTACCTATATAATGTCAGGCCCTGGTAAAACAGTGTTAAGCAAAAGGAGCTCCCCAAGGAGTGTTCAGCCTGCCTCAAAGACACTTCCAATCCCCCCCAAAAAAAGGCCCACTCTACTGCTGAACAACTTTGTAATAATGGCTTCCATTATGCTTCACATAAAATTCAAAATCCTTTCCATGGCCCACAAAGATTCACCTCAGCTGACTTTCTCTACCTCTCCGATATAACCCCCTGCCACTACCCTTTCCCACTAGGCCTCAGCCACCACTTTAACACCCTCATTTCTTTCCATCTGAGGGTTTTCCTTCATGCTGCTCCCTCTGAAGTTTCTCCTCTGCTCAGCAAAATGTCTTGTGCTTTCTTATATTTTATGTCTTAGTTTGCTGTCACCTCCTTGGGGGCTTTCTTGATCACTCCATCTAGCATAGGTTCTCCAATATTACCCCACTACAGTTCATTTCTACTTTTTTATAACTTTTTAAAATATTTTATTTATTTAAGAGAGAGAGAACATGGGGGGGGGGGCGTCAAGGAGGGACAAGCAGACCCCCACTGAGTGGGAAGCCGGATGCAGGGCCAGATCCCAGGACCCCGAGATCATGCCTTGTGCCGAAGTCAGACACAACCAACCAGGTGCCCCTAGTTCATTTCTTAAATAGCACTTAGCACTTTTCAGTTTGGTTTGTTTACCACCATAAGTCCAAGGACTATCAGAGTGCCTGGTGGACAGAATACATGGCAGATAAACTATGTGCTTAATGAATAAAATCCTTCTTCTTTAGCTGGAAAGAAATCTAACTTCCTCAAAACTTCTACATACTGATCCTAACTTTATCTTGTGTAACTACAATGGAAAAAATATATTTTTAGGCATTTGTATCATACTTTAATAAATTTTTTTAAGATTTTAGTTGACGGGAAGAGAGGACAGGCAGGGGAAGAGGGAGAAGCAGGCTCCCTGCTTGATCATGACCTGAGCCAAAGGCAGGTGCCCAACTGACTGGGCCACCCAGGCACTCATATGTTAAAAAATTATTTTTTTTAAAGATTTTATGTATTTATTCATGAGAGAGACAGAGAGAGAGAGGCAGAGACATAGGCGGAGAGAGAAGCAGGCTCACAGGGAGCCTGACATGGGACTCCATCCCGGGACTCCAGGACCACGCCCTGGGCCAAAGGCAGGCACTAAACCGCTGAGCCATTCGGGGATCCCAGTTAAAAAATGTTTAAACTACTGCTCATTAACTCTGGCACTGTTCTGTTTTTAGCAACAGCTACTGCTGCTGACTTCAGAGACAGTATCAAGGAGTATTTATGGGCATGGAATCCCACCTTACACCACCTGGATTGGAATCCGAGCTCCAACACTTACACACGTGAAATAGATCTCACTTTGGAGAAATTCCCTAACCTCTCTATACCTCAGTTCCTCATTGGAAAACTAGGATATGACTTAGTTGTCAGAATTGATGTATGTAAAGAGCTTACCCCAGTTCCTGACAGAGTAATGTTAACTGTCAAAACTACCACTGCTGTCTCACTGTCTAGAGAGGAAAACTTCAAAGTGATAACGCATCTCTTTGTATCCTTAAAACCTACCTTGCACAAGTCTCGACAAACCTACATTTAAAACCGCCACACCCCACAAGTGTGGCTAAGACACCCCCTTTGCATATATTTCCATAATAACCTGAAACTAGCCCTCACATCATGTATCCTAACAGTTAACTTTGCTATTCTCCCTCCACCACCTGACTCGTGTAAGCGGGTCTGTCTTGTTCACCATAGTATCTCCAACACCTGCAACAACAAACGTTTGATAATTAAATGAAATCCCACTGAGCTTCCATTCCTCCCAGTGGGAGCCTTTTTAAAAAAAAAAAAAAAAGCATTTGGGGGGCACCTGGGTGGCTCAGTCCGTTAACCATCTGTCTTCGCTCAGGTCATGATCCCCAGTCGGGGATCCTACCCCGCGACCAATATGCCTACTGCACCTGCTCTAACAGAGGCTTATTTTTTGCAAAATATCACGCAAATTTTTATTCTTGGGGTTTTTCTTTTTTCTTTTTTTTTTTTTTTTTGGATGTGAAAACTTATTGATTCTTCGTCGTTTCCTAAGGAATTAAACGCTATCATCTTACTGGCTCCGTAACTATCTGTGCTTATCACTATACCTACAACCTACAAGAATGCTTGAAAGATTAAAAAATAATAATAATAATAAGCAGACTAATTATATATTGCATGAACAGATATGTCATTTTCAGAGAGTGAAAACAGATAATGCTAAATGGAACCCACAGTCCTGGACAGGGAGGAGTCTGAGCGATGTAAGCGTTTTTGGTTTTGTTCTATGCATTTAATTCCCAAGTTCTCCATGGTATGGAGAACAGTATATAACTGAAGCTTTTATTTTTTATTTTAATTTTTTTTTTTTTTTTTTTTAGGTAAACCGTCTTGCGGAAGGCTGTCAAGCACCCCGCCTCCCCCCCTCCCCATCTCCTCCTGTTCTCCAGGGAGGAATAACACAACCTTGACACCACGCCTGGCGGGGGCCCAGGAGCCGCACGCTCCCTCCCACACCTGCCCGGCGACCAGCGACCCAGGGCAGTTCAACGCGCAAAACCGGAAGAGAGCGCTCGGGCACGGAAGCCGCTGCGGGCTGCAGGCACCCCGAGCGCCCCACCGCACCACCCAGCACTCACCACCAGCGAAGCCGTGAATCCGGGCCTCTCCATGGTCCCGCAGACCCTCCACGGTTATAAATCGAGGCTGAGCAGAAGCAGGTCGCAACCCCATTCACTGGGCGCCGCCATCTTGGAGGCGGGCCCGTAGCTGCGGCGCTTCCGCGGTCACGTGAGACGGAACCACAACAACTGCACGTGCAACCCGAGGAGGAGACGGGGGGGGGCCCAAAGGAACGCTGGGAAGGAGGGGAGGAGTCGGAGGCGGGATGCGGTCGAGCCAAGTCTCGCGACTCTTCTCTGCCTCCCGTCCCTGCAGCACCTTAGACGAATGAACTCTCGCGAGCAAATGAGCCTCGGTGGTGAAGGCGGGCAGAAGCCAAAGTGTAAACCTCCAAGGGGGCGTGGCTTAGTGGGGGGCGGGGCCTTCGAGCGGCAGGACTAATTCAGGGGACTAGGCTGGTGCTTTCCAGTTACTTCTTCTTTTTTTTTTTTCCCCCTCTTGGTTTTGGGTGTACAAATTTTGTCCAGATCTATATAAAACAGACTCAACATCAGAAGATTGTTAAATAAAAATGTAGAAAAAGACTTTAAAAGTTTCTTTACTCCAGCTAAATTAGCATCCTCCACTTTTAAAAAAAAAAAAAGATTTTATTTATTTATTCATGAGAGACACAGACACAGGCAGAGGGAGAAGCAGGTTCCATGCAGGGAGCCCAATGTGGGACTTGATCCTGGGTCTCCAGGATCATGCCCTGGGCTGAAGGCAGCACTAAACCACTGAGCCACCTGGGCTGCCTGCATCCTCCACTTCTTACTGGCAGTTACTGCACTTAATATTATTTGCTTTTCAAATTATTTACTTGCTCATCTTTTTCGCTGTAGTATCAGTGTGCACACCTACCTAGAAGACCACTTTACTAAGTACTTAGGAACAGTTTCTTGGAGTGGACCTGCCTTTATATTTACTAAATTACCTTCTGTATTTCCTTATGTGAGGGGCCAACTGCATCTCTACATGGTGTTAAACGATTGATAGACATTTTCACATTTACTACTCACAACCACCTTTAAAGGAAGCACCATTACCATTCTCACTTTACAAAGGATCCCAATGCTTCCAAGGGGTTCATTAGCAAACCCAAAGCTACAGAGAACATAGCAGAGCAAGACTTGTAATTTTTCTTAGTGTCTTCATCGTCTTTGTTTTTTTCCCTTCTTCATTGTCTTTCCTCAAAATCTTTGCAACAGCCTTAGCAGGCTTTTTGTCTGCCTTTCTTCAATTGATTTTTCATGCCATCGCTAAAATCTTTATTCTCATCTAGACGTGTGATCTAGAAATGATTAGCCTGCATACGTTTAAGAGTTTCAAATTCTGCACTTCACCTATTAGATTTGGGCATGACTTCTCCAAGATCGAGTTTCCTCCATTGTGAAGTGGGAATAATAGTAACTGCTTCATTAGGTACTATTACAGATTCAGTGAGATAATGCAAACTCGTTCTCAACTTAGGTCCTGGTTCTTAGGAAGTGCTCTCTAAAGATGATGGTAATGTCCCTTCCCTGCTTTAAATTCCTCCCTTTTGCTGCACGTGTGACAGATAGTCCAAGTCCTTAGCATGGTACTGACTTCCCAGATAGTGTGTTCTGTCACTCATTCTACTGGCTAGGCTATGCACAGACAGACCATACACCTTCAGGCCTCCATATTTTACGTATGTTATTCCCTTTACCAACAACACCTTTCCCTCTGCCACCTGCAGAACATTGGTCCTGTTTACCACGTCACAATCCATAGGCCATCTCAAAATATGTTGGCTCACTCCTCCCAAACCAGCAGAAGAACCACTTACATGTCATTTGCTCTTTTTTTTTTTTTTTTTGTCATTTGCTCTTTTAAGAGCTTATATGACTGAGTCAGGTCCCCAGGATAATTTCTCTTTTGATTAATTCAATGATTAGGGACCTTAACTATGTCTGTAAAACTTCTTTTTTTTTTTTGGCCATATAATGCAACATAATCATGGAAGTTATATTTCATCATGCTAACACTCACTCAAGAGAAGTAATTGTGCAAAACACATGAATTACAGGGCAGGAATTTAAGAGCCATCTTAGAATTATGCCAACTCTATTAACCCACAACCCCTTGCCAGAAGGCTCCTCAAAGACCATCAAGTTTCTATCAGTAGGCTTGCACTAATGCTTTCATCAAAGTCCTTCCATATTTTGTCTACTGCCTGGTGACAAAGCCACTCCTCTGGTTTAAATGTTTGCTACAGCAGCACCTCATTTTCAAGTACCAAAATCTGGTACGGCTTACCTATTGCTGGGTAACAAACTACCCCAAAACTTAGAACAACAATAAACTTTTATTACCTCACACAGTTTCTGTAGGACAGGAATCCAAGAATGGCTTAGCTGAGTGGTTCAGTCCCAGAGTGTCCCTCGTGAGTGTGCCATCAATTATCTGCTAGGGCTATAACAAAAGACTTGACTGGCTTTAGCGGATCCACTTACAAAATGGCTCACTCCCATTACTGGTAAATTAGTGCTAGCTATTGGCATGCGGCCTCAGTTCCTTGCAACACAGACCTCTCCATAGGATTGCTTGATTGTCCTCATAATATGGCAGCTAAATTTTTCCAGAGTGAGTGGTCTAAGAGAGACTAACACAGAAACTATAATGTTTTCTATGACCTAGCCTCAGAAGCCATTCAGTTGTCATTCCTGCAACAGCCATTTGTTACACAGGTCATCCCTACCTTTTATGGGATTGGACAAAACAAAGGCATGACCACCAGGAGGTGAGAATCACTGGGTGTCACCATGGAAACTGGACACCACATCAGAGATATGCAAGTGAAAACTGTGATGAGATATGACATGTTCCTTAGAGCCACTACCATAAAAAAGGCCCAAAAGGCCAAGTGTTTTTGGCAGGGATGAAGAGCATCTAGAACTAGTACGACCACTACAGAAACCAGTGCCCCTCTTATTTTTATGTATATATATTTTATTGTTTTTTTAATCTGCCTTTAATTTAATTTTCTTGTATGAAACTATTTGGCAGCCACAGCTGGAGCCTAGGTCCTCTGCATCGAGACCGATGTGGGTATTTATAAGAGCATCAGTGAATTCCTGACAGGGGAAACTTGGTAAACACCGTCTCTCTCCAGAGGTCAGGGATGAGACAGCTGTAGGTCTTGGAAGTGGCATGAAAAGTAGCCTTGGCAAAATTGCCCAGAGTGGCAGTGCAGCCTCTGGCTGAGTTATAGCAGTTACCAATGCTGGCCATCATTGGTAGCTCCTTGGGCACAGGGGCTGAGACCCATGCCAGTACCTCTGGAGGCAAGGGTGAAACGCACCAGCACAGAGCCACAGCAGCTGGTCACTTTGCTTAAGACAGTGTGGTGCTTGCTGCTCTTGTTCCCACAGTAGCCTCTCCACATGAGAACAATGTGTCGTTCACATTGTGAACAATGTGTTGTTCAACTCATCCTGGCCAGGATGGTGGCCTCACAGATGGCAGTAGCTACCTCCTCTGAGCACTGAACACTCACACCAATGTCTCCACTGTAATCTCCAATGACAACAAATGCCTGTAAAGAGCCTGAGATGGTTGGTGGTCCACTGACTTACACAGCATCCATAATCACCACCCAGGACCTAGTGCACCCCTCAAGGAAAGAGTGGCCACCATGAGACCAATCTGAAATCCTGAGGAGCATCTTTCTCTCTCTCCCCATTTGTTTTTATTGTTTTCTTACAATTTCTTGGCCTGTAATTAAATCCGCCCCAAATGCTTTCTGTCCCCCATTCCCAAGCTTTCCTATGCCTCTCTTAGGTATTTACTCAAGAAAAATGAAAACATGTGTCCATTATTGTTCACAGCAGCTTTATCCATAATAGGCAGAAACTGGAAACAACCCAAATATCTATCAGCTAGTGAATGGATAAACATCATATGTTACATCCAGACAATGGAATATTACTCATAAATAAAAAGAAATGAATTACTGACACATGCAAAAATATAGGTTAATCTCAAAGCATTATGCTAAGTGAAAAAAGTCAAATTTTAAAAAGTACATACTTTGTAATTCCACTTATATGAAAATCCAGAAAAGGCAAAATTATAGTGACAAAACAGACCAGTGGTTTCCAGACACTGGGGTAAAGGCAAGGGATTGATTATATATTTATATAATATATATGGTATATATTTATAAAAGGGGGCACAAAAGAACACTTTGCAGTGATAGAGATGTTCTATATAATTATTGTGATGGCCACTGCTTGGGTGTATACATTTACAAAAATGCCTTGGATTGCACAATTTAAATGGATGCATTTTACTGTAAGTTATACCTCAAAAACTGATTAAAATATCATATTTGTCTCACAGTATGGTGATGATTGAATAATATATTCATGAAAAGTACACAGTCCAGTGCCTGGCATGTAGAAACTATTAAATTTATTCAGTATTTTCCTATTAATATTGTAGATTCTGAATGCCATTGAGACTGATAAATTATTGAGATGCACAAGCACTTGGTGATAGATAACATATATCTCCCCCAGAGAAAAGAGATGTTATCCAGTTACTAATGATCTTGGAAGTTTCAGGTAAAACTCTTCTCCAAGAGAGAATTTAACCCAGACTATGGATTTTGATTTTGAGATAATATTTTGTTGGTTCTAAAATTAAGGGGAAACTCTTCCTTTTCAAAGTAATGACTGTCTTTAACTATGTAAGAAGAAATTATGTTGATACCATTTTCTGGTAACTTGGAAGGTAATACAATTCATTGGATGCCTTCCAGAATCAAAAAATATATATTATATTATCTCCTTTTTACAAAGGTAAAGCTTCATCAAATATTTCCACTAGATGCCCTTTAGGGAATACAGATCCTACAACATGACCTGGGACCTCCTTTTCAAGAAATGCTAGTACAGGGGCACCTAGGTGGCTCAGTCGTTTAAGCATCCAATTCTTAGTTTCGGCTCAGGGCATGATCTCCAAGACATGAGATCCAGCCCCGGGTCAAGCCCTGCATTGAGCCCCACTATGGGCTCCATGCTGAGTGTGGAACCTGCTTCCAATTCTCTCTCTCCCTCTTTCCTCAGCCCTCCCCCACTCATGCTCTCTATCAAAAAACAAAGAAAAAATTCTAGCAAAAAAATCTGTCACCACTTGTGCATGCCTTTTAAATGGAGTATTTCAATGCATAAATATTTTTACCACATTGCAGGCACAGAATGTCCTCAAATCTTCAATTTTAAAAGATGCAGGAGGGGCGCCTGGGTGGCTCAGTCGGTTAGGCATCTGACTCCATCTCAGCTCAGGTCTTGATCTCAGGATATGAACTCGAGTGCTGCATTGGATTCTACTGTAGATAGTACCAAATAAATAAATATGTAAATAAATAAATCAGGAAATGAAGCAGGCACTGACTTGCATTAAATATTAGAAATTATAGCACTGTCTTCTTCAATTAAATCTACCACTGGAAACCAAATTCACTTTTAAACAAGTTCTAAAATCTCAATAGTATTTATAAAAATTCCCAGTAAGTCAAAAAACATACATCAACAAATAGATTAGGGCAGCCCGGGTGGCTCAGCAGTTTGGTGCCACCTTCAGCCCAGGGCGTGATCTGGAGACCATCGAGTCCCACGTTGGGCTCCCTGCAGGGAGCCTGCTTCTCCCTCTGCCTGTGTCTTTGCCTCTCTCTCTCTCTCTCTCTCTCTCTCTCTCTCTCTCTCTCTCTGTCTCTCATGAATAAATAAATAAAATTTTTTTAATTATTTTAAAAAATGGATAAAGTGTAGCTTAGAGGAAGTAAAGGATGTCATCTTCAGTCAGGACAAGGCCCAAGTTCCAGGCTCCTGTTATTAATCTTCATGGAAAAGTAAAGTAACAAAATCATTTTCAGTAAAAAAATATTTACAGAGGTATTTTAACCTGTCTGCAAAGGATAGCAAATACATATAATGGAAAGGAAGTCCAACAAAAAATATAAAAGGCCTGTTTTAAAGGCCCATTTTCCTGTAAGTTATAGAATCAAGGGTATACTTGTCAGATGGCTTCTGTCTTTCTATTTTAAATCAGTGAGAAGAAAACAAGATGGTCCTTTCAATAAATGGTTTGAGACAATCTGGTAGTCATTTAGAAGAAAATAATGTTTTATAACCCTGTGTCATACTTTACATCCAAATACTGTTCCAAATGGATTAAAACTTTTACTTGACGTAATTGAACTATTAAAACACTAAAATAAGGTCAACATTTTAATATTCTTCATATAAAGAAACAAGTTCTTTGCATGACTTTTTAAAAAAGATTTCATTTATTTATTCATGAGAGACGCACAGAGGCAGAGACAGAGGCAGAGGGAGAAGCAGGCTCCATGCAGGAGGCCTGATGGGGGACTCAATCCCAGAATTCCAGGATCATGCCCTGAGCCAAAGGCAGACGCTCAACTGCTGAGCCATCCAGGTGTCCCTATGCATGACTTTTTTAAGAAAAATATCTATAGTATATATGACAAAAATGAATTAACATTAAATACATCCTATAAATCAATAAGACTGATACCAATAGGGAAAAAAAAGGGGCAAAAGTCACAAAGAAATACAAGCAGCTAATTAACATGTTAAAAAAGTATTTTAAATTCATTAGTAACAACAAAATTAAAACAAATAAGGCATATTTTTGTAAAGATTTTTTAAGTAATCTTTTGACTCAATATTTTTTTTAAAGATTTTATTTATTTATTAATGAGAGAAACGGAGAGAAAGGCAGAGACACAGGCAGAGGGAGAAGCAGGCTCCCGTGGGGAGCCTGATGCGGGACTCAATCCCAGGACCCCAGGATCATGACCTGAGCCAAAGGTAGCTGCTCAACTGCTGAGCCACCCAGGTGCCCCTTTACACTCAATATTGAGCTCAAACTTATAACCCCAAGGTTAGGAGTTACATGCTCTAATGAGCCAGCCAGGCACCCCATTAAAGCATATGTTTTTTATTTTTATTTTTTTTAAAAAGAGAGAGCATGAGTGGTGGGGGGGGGGGCAGGCAGAGGGTGATAGAGAATCTTAAACAGACTCCACACTGACCACAGAGCTTGCCATGGGGCTTGATCTCATGACCCAGGCCAAAACTTAGAGTCAGATGCTCAATTGACTGAGCTACCCAGGTACATCATAAAGCATATTTTTAAATCTTATCAAATAGGCAAAGATATTTTTTTCTAGAAGGAGGGTAGAGCAATATTTCTGGTGAGCAATATGGCAAGTTATATCAAAAGCCTACAAAAAATGTTCTTTGTCCTTAATCATCTCTACTTCTTGCATTATGCTCTAAGAAACCATTTTCTTAAATCCATAGAAGTAGGACTATAAGGATATTCATCTCTGCTTATCATACCAAAAGGAAAAATTTTTGTACATCCAAAAATGTTCATCGGTATGTGACTGAGACAATTTGTAATAGTGCCCATATGTAGCTATTTAAAACCATGATGTAGAAGAATCTTAATGATACAGAAAGATGATAAACATAAAAATAATTGCACAAGAACATAGGCATATGCTGGTTTTTCTCTTTATGCTTCAGCAGATCTATTCTCTGCTTTCTCTGCCTTGTTCTGTGTCCTAGGGAGCTGACCCCTAGGAACTGCCTTCTGGCTTCCATTTGTGGTTGGCCAATGACAGTCATGGGCAAATCTGAGGATGGCAAAAAAAAAGAGGTCAGAGTGTTTCTTCCTTGCTCCCTAGCGGCCTTGACCCAATTTTGTCAGGTGGTGTGTCCCTTGACAAATCTGCTCCCATAAGAGCTTCCCCTGTGTGGCTTCCCTCTTTTTGACCTCTTATAACACATTTTCCTTTCCTTCCTTCCTCAGGGCTAAAGATGATAATGGCTTTTCACTATTGTAAGCCCCAGCCTCCTCTTTCATACGTAATTGATTTTCTTAGCACTGCCCACAGCTCTCCTCAAAAATCCCAATTGAGGGGCACCTGGATGACTCAGTCAGTTAAGTGTCTGCCTTTGGCTCAGGTCATGATCCCAGGTCCTGGGATGGACTCATCAGGCTCCCTGCTCAGTGAGAGCCTGCTTCTCCCTCTCCTCCCCACTTGTGCTATCTTGGTTGCTATCTCTGTATCTTTATCTCAAATAAATAAATAAAATCTTTTTAAAAATCCCAATTGAGTGCCTTCTATTTGCTGATAAAACTCTGACTGACAAAAGACAACATAATCCAATTTTTGTAAACATATACATATTAGTTATCTATTGCTCCATAACAAACCACCCCAACACTTGGCAGCTTAAAACAACAAACACTTACTATCTTAGAGTTTCTTTGGGTCCAATATCTGGATATTGCCTACCTATGCACAGGCTAGCTTGAAGTCTCTAGGAGACTATAGTCATGCTGCCAGCCAGGGCTGCAATCTCATCTGATGGCTCAAGTGGGAGAGGATCCACTTCCAAGCTCACTCACATGGGTGTTGGCAAGATTCAGTTCCTTGCAAGATGTTGGACCAAAGGCTTCACTGTCTATCTTCACTGTCTTCACTATCTATTGCCTGGAGGCCTTCCTCAGTTCCTTGCCACACTGCCCTTTCCATATGGGAGCTTGCAACATGGCCCCTGGCTTTTATCAGAGGGAGCAAGCAAGAAAGAGTAAAGGAGAACACCCAGGATGGAAGCCACAAATTTGGTAATCT